GCCCACCTTACATGTACCGAGTTCTCAATAGAGGGTGCCGGACGCAAACCAACCATACTGCAGGTTCCCGATGTACAACTTTGTAAGCTTTTGTTTTGTACCAAGCGTCGCACGCAGTTCTATCTCGCATAGTATTGCTAGCATTAGCCGTAAACCACTACGCTCTGCGTTTCGTCCAAGCTAAGCCTATCTCCACCTAATAAGTACAATCCAGGACGAAACCGCGGTCGTAGGGTGCCCGCGTTGATTAAAACAAAAGACAAATATTCCATTTTTAATACGTCATGGCGATCGGAATGCCCAAAGGCTAACCTCAAGTGCATTGAGGTCACAGTAGAGGTTGCCTGTCGCAAGAAATCTACACTGCGGGTTCCTCATGTCCAAATTCGAATTCGTTTTCGCTGCACCGACCGTTGTTCGCGAATCCAAGTGACATAGTATTTATGGCGTTAGCCTTGTACCACTAGGTTCCGAGTTCCAATCCAGCTCCAGTTATCTCCACCTGGTGAGTCCAATCCAGGACGAAACCGCGGCCGTGGAGTGCCAGTGTTGAAAGAAACAACACAAAGATAGTTGCATTTCAAATAGAGTTCTTGAGATCAGAATGACCCAGGTCTAACTCACCAAACCGAGGTTACAGTGGAAGTTTCGTATTGAAATACAATCTCAAGGCGGGTTCTCCATGTACGAATTCGAAATCGTTTGCTGTCTACCAAGTGTTGCTCGCGGTTCTACGTGGTATAGTACTTATATGACGTTGGCCGTTAACCACTAGACTCTGACTTCCGTCCTAGCTCAGGCTACCTTCAATTGATAAGTCCAAACCAGGACGAAACGGCTGTCGTGGGCTGCCAGTGTTAGAAGGTGAAAAACAAAAATAGTTCCATTTCAGATACGCTCCGTGTAATCGGAATGACCGAGGTCCACATTCACTGAACCGAGGTCTCACTAGAGTTTGCGTGTTGCAACCCAACAACACGGAGGTTTTTCCAAGTCGAACTATGAATTCCCTTCCGCAGTACCAAGAGTTGCTCGTAGGTCTCAGAGACATCGTGTTTATGGTGTCAGACGTGAACCGCTAGGCACTTAGTTCCGTCCTAGCTCAGGCTAGCTTCACTTAATGAGTCTAAACCAGGACGAAACCGCGATCGTAGGGTGCCAGTGTTTGGTGAAGCAACAGCTAAGTATTTCCATGTTAGTTACGGTGCTTGCGATTGGAAATTCCGAGGTCCACCTAAAGTGAATCAAGGTCTCAATAAAGGTTGCGTGTTTCAAACCAACCCCACCGCGGTTTCGCCAAGTATAAATTAGTATGCGGTTGCACTGCACCAAGGAAGGAAGGAAAAACGCAAAAGTAGTCTCATTTCATATAGACTTCGTTAAAATCACATTGACCGAGATAAACCTCAATGAACCGACGTCTCAATAAAGTTTGCGTGTCTCAACCCAACCGCACTGCGAGTTCCATAAGTCCAAGTATAAAAACATTTCCGCTGTGCCAATCGTTGCTCGCGCATCTCAGTGGCATGGTGTTTATTGCGTCAGCTGTCAACCACTGGGCTTCGAGTTTCGTGGCACCTCAGGCTATCTTCACCTGATGAGTCCAAAGCAGGACAAAACCGCGGTTGTGGTGCGCCTTTGTTGAAAGGGGCAACACAAAAATAGTTCCATTTCCGATACGGTCCATGCAATCGGAATGACCGCGGTCGACCTCAAGCAAATCCAGTTCCCACTAGGGGTTGCCTGACGCAAGCAAACGACATTGCAGGTTCTTCATGTCGCACTGTGAATGCGTTTCCGCTGCAATAATCGTTGCTCGCCGATCTAGGTGTTATAGTGTTTATGGCGTTAGTCGTGAACCACTAGGCTTCTAGTTTCATCCCAGCTCAGTCTACCTCCACCTGATGAGTCTAATCCCGGACGAAACCGCGGTCGTAGGGTGCCAGTTTGATTGAAGCAAAAGATAAATAATTCCATTTTTTAAAGTCATTACGATCGGAATGCCCAAAGGTCAACATCAAGTAAACCGAGGTCACAATGGATGTTGCCTACCGCAACATAACGACACCTTGGGTTTCCTCTGTGCGGATTTGCATTCATTTGCGCTACATGACCCGTTGCTCGCGGATCCAAGTAGCATAGTGTTTATGGCATCAGCCATGAATCAGTGGACCCGAGTTCCATCCCAGCTCAGGCTCTCTCCACCTGATGAGTCAAAACCAGGACGAAACGGCTTTCCTGGGGTGCTAGTGTTAAAAGAAGCGACAGAAAAATATTTCCATCTAAGGTATGGTCTATGCAATCAGAATGACCGAGTTTCACCTCAGTAGAACCGAGGTTGCGTGTCGCAACCAAACGACATGGCGGTTCCGCCAAGTTTCAATTTGAATGCATTTGCTCTGCACTAAGCGTTGCTCGCACGTCTCAGTGGCATAGTGTTTATGTCGTTAGAGTTGAGTAACTAGATTCTGAGTTCCATCCCAGCTCAGGCTACCTTCACTTGATGAGTCCAAACAAGGACGAAACGGAAGTTGTGGGGTGCCAGTATTAAAAAGAGCGACAGAAAAATATTTCCTTCTAAGGTACGGTCCATGCAATCGGAATGACCGAGTTGCACCTCAATAGAACCGAGGGCTCACTAGAGGTTGCGTGTCGTAACCTAACAACACGGCGGTTTCGCAACCTCGAACTATGAATTCGTTTTCGTTGTGCCAAGAGTTTCTCGCGGATCTCAGTGTCATATTGTTTAGTACCTCAGCCGTCCACCACTAAGCACCTAGTTCCAGCCAGGCTCGGGCTATCTACACCTGAGGAGTCTAAACCAGGACGAAACCACTGCCGTGGGTTGCAAGGGTTTGGATGCGCAACACAAAATACTTCCATCCCAGATCCGCTGAGTGCCATCAAAATGACCCAGGTCCACCTCAATAGAGGCTGCGGGTCGCAGAACAACGACAAGTCCGTTTCGCCATGTCCAGATTTGAATGCGTGTTTACTGTACAACACGTTGCTCACGGATCCCAGTGGCATAGTGTTTGTTTCGTCCGCCGTGAACCACTAGGCTCCGAGTTCCAACCCAGCTCAGGCTATATTCACATGACGAGTTCAAACCGGGACGAAACCGCGGTCGTGGGGCACCAGTGTTTGATTGAGATAACATAAACAATCGTTCCATTTTAGTTAGGTTCCAAGCAATCGGAATGACCGAATTCCACCTCAAGCGAACCGGAAACGCAATTGATGTTGCCTATCGCAAACAAACCACACTGCGGGTTTTCCAAGTCCAACTTTGAATTTGTTTCCGCTGTACCAAGTGTTGCTCGCACATCTCAGTTCCATAGTGTTTATGGCGTTAGCCGTGAACCACTAGGCTCCAAATTTCATCTCAGCTCAGGCTCTCTTCAATTGATGAGTCCAAAGCAGGACGAAAACGTGGTCGTGCGGTGCCAGTGTTGAAAGGAGCAACACAAAGATGGTCCTATTTCAGACACGGTGCATTCAATCTGAATGACCGACGTCCAACTCAAGTAAATCGAGGTCTCTATGGAGGAGACGTGCAGCAACCAAACCACACCTTGGGTTCCACGAGTCCAACATTGAAGTTGTTTCTGTTGTATCAAGCGTTGCTCGTGGATCTCAGTGGCGCAGTGTTTATGGCGTTTGTCGTGAACCACAAGGCTCTGGGATCCAGCCCAGCTAAGGCTCTCTTCATTTGATGAGTCCAAACCGGACGAAACCGCGATCGTGGAGTGGTTTTGGAAGGAGCAACACCAGTTTAGTTCCATTTCAAATAAGGTCCACGCAATCGGAATGACCAATGTCCAAATCCGGTGAACCGAGGTCTCTATAGTGGGTGCGCGCAGCAAACCAACCACACTGCGGTTCCACATGTCTAAATTTGAATTCATTTCCGCTGTACCAAGCGTTGCTCGCGGATCTGGAGGGCATAGTTGTTTGGCGTTAGCTGGGAACCACTAGGCTCTGAGTTCCCTCATAGCTTAAGCCTATCTTCATTTGAGGAGTCCAAACCGGACGAAACCGCAGTCGTGGGGTGTCAGTGTTTGAAGGAGCAACAGAAAATATTTCCATTTCAGACGTGGTCCTTACGATCGGAATGCCTGAAGACCATTTCAACCGATTCGGAGTCTTACTAGAGGTTGTGTGTCACAATTCAACCACACGGCCCTTTCGCCAAGTCGAACTTTGAATGCGTTTTCCCTGTACAAGCGTTGATCGCGTTTCTCAGTGGCTAGTGTTTATGACGTTAGACGTGAATCACTAGGCTCAGATTTCCTCTCCAACTCAGGCTATCTCCACCTGAGGTGTCCAAACCAGGACAAAACCGTGGTCATGGGGTGGCAGTTTTGGGAGGAGCAACACAAAAATATTTTTATAATAAAAATGGGCATGCTACACGATATTCAATATTGCTTTTTTAGTAGGTAGCTACTAGTGTCCATTTATCAAAGTGGCGGTTGAATTTATGAAATTTAGGTAAAAGTTGCATTTTTCTCAATAATCACAGGTTAGTATCCGTAAAAAGCGCGTATGTTACTATTTTAACCACACCATATGCCATTTTCCGTGCGTCCTTTCGAAAGCAGGATTTTGTTATGATTATTTGGGTGTCTGTGTGTAATCGGTAACCGATTTGTTATTGTACCCCGTGGCTTGTAGTCTCCGGTTGCCCATGGGCTCCGAGACCACTGATTTAATACCGATTTCCGGGTGTTACCACGGGTATATCATGACACAAACTTCTGATCTCTGGTATGCTTACCTGTCACTAAAAGCGAGGTGTCAATCTCCTCACCAATGTTCGAAATAAATATGCCCGCTGGAAAAACTCATGTGGGGAACTTGTGTTTATGAGTTCAACTAATCAAAGTTCGCTGGATATTTCCTAACTTACGTACGAATGCTAACTGCTACAACCACGGCACAGGTAACTAGAGGACATACAGAGAAACACCACAGCAAACGGGCGGAGAAGAACTTACTGCAGCATCTTCACCAACACCGGAATGCCCATTTCTTTGTGAATCAACTGGGCACCGGTCCTGGTTTTAACCAGTAGTTGCAGGCTCAAGGCGGTTTCGGCTTGCAACTCATTTGAATTCGTCGTTTGAAGCAGTGAAATAAGTTCCCGGATAAGCTGCGGATAAGGGATTATAGGACAGAGACAGTGGATCGAGAAATTTCCTGTCAACACGGCGCCACATTATATAGCTGACAGTAACTGAGAAATTATGTTCTTTGAATCAAAATCGTGTTTCATTGTGCAGTACAATGTCCGAATTACATATCCGCATAATAATAAAATCGGTTAGATCCTTATTTCGGAAGATTTCAGGATAGAAATCGGTTTTGTGTTGCAGTTAATTTCACTCTTGACAGATGAGCTTCTTCAGACTAGGTGAACCAGCAAACAATTGACAGGGCGATAAAGGTAAGAGCATAGAAGTTGCGAAGAATTAGGATTATGTGGAAAAGTAAAGCAATTATCAGTAGAGCTCTATAAAGTGATTGAGAAAAATATTGTATCATGGGTATTTAGTACAAATAAGACAGAGGTTGCCAGCGACACGAGAAGTGTGAACGGGTGAATGGTATAATAGCTGTCTGAAATCGACTCTTCCCTCGAGGATCTATGAAATACATGGTTCCGACGCTTCAATTCAGCCCGATGCGGGTGGTTCAGATCTCGGACTCACGTACTAACCAGATATCTGGCAGGTCTGTTAAAACACTTAACATGCCAATAGGAGACCTATTGGGTGTAGCGCAGCGACATCAAGGCGAGGACAGTAACCTGGGTGGAAGTAAGAAGCTGGGAGTAGACCAAACGAAGTATGAATGTATGCCTTAGCATAGTGTATTTCATGGCACATTCGAGGCCGTGCGCTCCGGAGACAAGCCTTCTAAAGATGGGCGCTGACAAACCCTAGTAGTTCTCCAAAGATTCGGTGAGGAAACGTAGATGATACCTTTGTTATTATCAGCCAGGATAAGGATAATTTTATAAACGTTAACGTCACTATGAAATTAGAATCTTACAGTGGTACATTGTCGTTCCTTGAGTGGCTAGTTCACAGGGATGGAGGACGGCTAATAAAAACGATATATTGCAGACCAACGGATGCGAACGGAGTACTTCGATTTTCGTCGAGCCACTCAACACATGTTTGTGTTGCAATTGCATCCTTTCTGTTTCAGGTCGTCTAGACTTTGTGCACAGGAGGACCGCCCGGAAGGATGCAATGTTGCCAGTCTAACACTGCGGCCTGAGCTACTAATGCGTCAACAAAGCAACGCTGCAACTCCAACGGCAAGAGCTATACTCTAAGCTGCTGAACCAAGCCGTCGGCTTTTAACAGAAACGTAGAACGTCGTATCAGAGACCAAACGATCTGCTAGATTCAGAAATCGAACAAAGCAAAATATCTGTCATGCGAAATCATCGTCCATTTCGTGGCGGTAGTGGCGCTGCGAGGCTTTTATCCAGCATTCTCATATTGGTCCCCACGCCTTAGTTTCCTCGTTGCAACCAGCAGGTCGAGATGGTCGACCTCAGGAGAAGATGCACAATACTAGCCTTATGAAGAATTATCGAAAACATATGTTCGCTAACATTGACTTTCGATTATCTTTATGGGTTTCTTTAAATCTATAAAACGCAACTTGGACCCACCTGTTTTGAAACTGCTCAACAGATATGTGAGCTACCGGACCAGGATTGCAAAGGCGGATATATGTCTCGGTTTTATTGAAGGCTGCATAGAAAGAGATGCGTACCCATCTAACTATTGGAAATACTAGCCTAATGATGAATTATCGAAAACATATGTTCGCTAAAATTGAATTTTGTTTAGATGCACAATACTTGCTTTTGTCTAATTGTCTGCAAGCTCCGAAATCCTCCGCCGACAGCGATGACAATCTGTTAATCGCTCACTGGCATGCTGTTTCAGAAGGTACTCGAGGTACCTTATACTGGGTAACTTAACTGTGCTTTCGACAGTGTCAGCGTCCCGCAATGAATCCTCTATCAAATCAATACTCATTGAGTTCGCGGATATGGCAGTCTATATAACCATGTTCATCGACCACCCAGACACTGCGTTTCCAAGAAACCATCATTCACGGACTTGATCCTAACCAATGAAGAGCTGATGACTGAGACAATTTCAAGCGATCATCTTCTAGAATTGACAATGTGTATCATACCGGCTTTGCTGCTAAACAACGAGAACCTCGACGCACTATTACCTACCAATCCAAGCTTTAGAAGCCAGCGCGAACTGTTAACTGGAAATCTCCCGCTGTAGAGTTCATCGAACGACGCATGGAATTGATTAAAGTACAAGCTCTACGGGACCATCCAAGCAGCCACAAAAGTTGTGCCAATACGATCAACGCACTGGACCAACATATGAATCCGAAGTAGAAGGTGTAATGGATCAACAGAACGGAGGCGATTTCAGGCAACATGCGCGAATATCATGTGATAGATATCACATGGACGAAATACAAGGCAGCCAGAAACTACTGCATGTCTCACACTGGAGCCGACTAGTACGAATGTCAGGTTTGCGCGCAACACAGAGAGCTTTATAGATATGTGAATGACAAAATTAAGCCTAAGACTGGACCATTACACAAGACGGTCAGTGGCACAACGACCAGTGCTCCGGATGACGTGAATGCACTACTCCTGCAGGTTGGTTCAGTGGCTCCAAATACCATGGAACCTTCGCCCTCTCACCACCCAGTAAGCGCCGTCGGCCTAACCAGCGTCACCCTTACTTCAGTAGCTGTCGCCAGCAAATTGCAGTCACCCAGAGAAAGCAGTGCCCCGGGAATAGACAAGACCTGCCTAAAGCTTCTCATAAGCTTTGCCGCGAACATAGAAGTAACTGGCGGCCTATTTGCAGTGTCTGTTTGATTCCCATACACATCCATCTGGATGGAAAAGTGGAATCATCACCGCGATATACAAAGTACGTAAGTGATCTGATCTTGCAAACTCGCATCCTATCGCACTTTTTCTTGTTATATCACAAGTTAGGGAGTCGAAAATCGCAGACGAACTGATGGGTTATTTTGAAAGTCTAATCTTCAATATGGTTTTATACTCAGACAATTTTATCTCACTAATCTGCTTTTGGCTCGTGACTCACCTACCAAGACGGACGAAGAAAGAGTCCCCATAAGTGTGATTTACTTAGACTTTCCCAAAGCATTTAACAGAGTCAATCACGCCACTATTTCTGCAAAACCTCGGGAGCTAAGGGATAACCGGCTACCTGCTCACCTGGTTGAAACGTTACATATACGGGAGAATAATCGCAGTACGAGCTTCCGGAAAACACACCGATAGCCTGTACGTTTCGCAATACTTCAGAAATTTCGGCTCCATCCTGACGTTGAGGGCGAAGTTATCCACTTCACTGACTACCGTATCATAAGAACAGATAGATCTGGAAAGCCGCGTAATCATAGCGGAGGCCTCATCAGTTACATCAACGAAATCTGGAGTAACTCGGTACCTTTGTTGTTTATATACTCAACACCAAAGGTCAGGTGCCATTTAATTGAATGTAAACAAAAGTTTGAGCGGTTTCCATTCTGTAGTCATTGGAAATGTCTACATAGCGCCTGACACCACCGTCTGAGTTGAAGAAATTTGCCGATGATTTTTCCTCAACGTTACTGCCTAAAATTTAGAGATCCCTCTGTATCGTAGTTGGTGATTTCAACAAGAGTGACACAGCATTCATCAAATCTCTCGGTCTAACAAATATGGTGAACTTCGAAACCAGACTGAACGCACAGTTACATTTCGTCTTCACAAATAAAACAGTTATTTTCTACACTAAAAGGGCTCCTCTCGGCAACTCAGATCACTGCATTCTGAAGGTATGCCCAGTCATGTACTGCAAGACCAAGTTTGTCTCTTTGACAAAGAAGCCACTCAAAACTGTCAGACGGAGAGACTGCTCGACAGAAAATATTGCGAAACTCCAAGCGACGCTGGCTTCAACTGACTCTTCAGTTTTCAAGAACGAAAATGTCTCTTTGGAATGCGACCACTTGACTGAATACATCAAATTCTGCTTCGATCTGTACTGCCCTGTTGAGACCATCTAACTACGGATGGATAGATTCTCTTCACCGCTACATAGCAACTTGAGTATGAAAGAACAAGCCTATAAATACAGAATAAGTGCACAATTTAAAAGACTCCTTTTGGCAATCAAATCCGAAATAAAAAGGTTGAACCGCCTGTACACTGAGACAGTGCTGGACTCTCATGATTGTCGCCATCTCTGGAGACTTTTAAAACACGTACGTGGACAAAGTTCCCATAAGCGCAATGATAACGTGGGTGTGCACAAACTTAACGCTGCCTTTTGTTCTTCTCAACAGGGTGTTCATTCTTTGTCCCACTTCACCAGCACAGGTCAGGTAGTCAATTTTGACAGGTTTAATGTTCATCGAGAACTCAAAAAATTGCAGGCAAATAAGGCTACTGGCCCCGATGCACTATCACCGTTTGTCCTAAACCACAGTGCAAATTATCTTGCGGAACTTCTGACCACAATTATGGAGGGCACTATCCCTGACATTTGGAGACCAGTTAGGATAAGACCGGTTCCAAAGAAAAACTCAAAAGCATCGTCCAATAGCATGTACATCGATGACGTTGGAGGTCTTCGAAAAACTGCTTGCTCGCCAGCTTTTTCACACACCAATGCAGACTATATGTACCAATTCGGCTACAAGCATGTCCGCTCCACACTGGATGCGCTGTCCTAACTTTTGCCTCCTGTAGCATCTGCACTGGATGAAAAAAGCGGGGCAGTTCGCCTCCTGTTTCTCGACTATACAGATGCTTTCGGTAGCGTTGACAGATCAATCTTGCTCAAACAGTTGTCTGCAAATGGGGTTCCAACGAGTGTTTGCGGTGTGGTTAAAGACTACTTCACAAACCACACTTAATTCACCCAGATTAATGGAGCAAAGTCTTTTGCATTGCTCTCTAGTCGAGGTGTTTTACAGAGAGCCATCCTCTCGCCCACTCTATTTTCCTTATACATTGACAAGCTCCCCATACCATCTACCTTTAGTGAATACAACTATGTTGACGATGTC